TGGAATTTTTGATATTGATGTCCATGTAGTTTCAAATCTATCGGTCATTTGTCCTAACACCGTTTTTTTTTCTTCTGTGTCCAATGCAAAAGATATTTTGAAGTGTTTGTGATTCCTTATTCAAAAAAACTTATGTTTAATTGTAAAAGTGTTTATTAGTTTTTCCGGTATCAAATGGAGTTTTAAAACAAGTGTTTAAATTAATTTATCCGGTATTAAGAAATACCAAGTTGATAAGTTATTTTTTAGTGTTTGACAATTTCTATTTATAGATGTAAAATGACCAACAAGGACCGAATATATATAGACATAAGAAATAGAGTTATTAGGATAAATTAATTTAAATAAGTCCTAAGCTATTTTAGATAAGTTAGAACCACTAACTTATCAAAAACTCATTATTTAAGTCAATAATCACTTTTAATTTTAATCTATTGAAACACTAAAAGTTGTTTATTAGCGGTGTCAAATCACAATAAAGTAATAAACATTTTAGCAATTTTAAACATCAACCCTAAATCAATAAACCATTGTTCACCAACTCTTTTAAGCTCCTTCATGCCAGCAGTTTCAAATCCACCCACCGTTGACGTTGGCACATTTAGGGGAGGATCTATATAGGAGTTCGGGATAGCCCATTTCGTCCTTAAAATTTTTAGACGCAATGCAATTTTTTCGACATGCTACCCCTAAAATTTATGTGTGTAACCCCCTAACATTTTGATTGGTCACTGCATTCAATGTCACCAACCGTTGATGCTGGCAATCACACCACCTCAGAAATCGGAATCTCCAACGCCCTGCAACACAATGCCACCACCATTCCCACCTTGCCACCTCCTCTATATTGACAAAAAGGGATGGATATCCTTTCCTAATTTAAGTTGATTTTATTTCCTTTTGTAAATTCTTTGTAATTGTATTTATACCATTGTAATTCTTTGTATAATGGTTAATAAGAACTGGTTTATACCTCTCATATGGAATCAAGCTAACACATCTATCTTTTCTCTTAACCCTACCCACGCCTCCCTTCTTCTTTTTCTTCATCTTGATCTCGATCTCCATGGCTGCCAAATTAGGACTCTCTATGACCACTATTCTTCATATGCTCACAATCAAATTATCATCTTCCAATTATCTACTTTGGAAGAATCAACTTTATCCACTCCTTTCTCATCAAAAAACTTTTAGCTCATATCGACGGTTCTTCTTCTCCCCCTCTCAAACCCTCACTATCGAAGGAAAGGAGTCCTCTAATCCCGCTTATACCTCATGGCTTGAAAAAGATCAAATTGTCATGTTTCTCCTCCAATCCTCTTTAACGGAGGAATCCATGGCTGAAGTCATCGAATTTCAAACCTTTCAAGACCTCTGGACAACTCTAAAACGAGCGTACAACCATCACTCTGTTGAACGCGCCTAAAATTTGCGTGATTCTTTGCATCAGTTAAAAAAGGTAATGTATCTGTATCCGCTTATGCCAAGAAATTTAAATCTCTTTGTGATCATCTGCAAGCAATTGGCTATCCCATTGATCCTATGGACAAAACTCAATAGTTCCTATGTGGTCTTGGTCCCGCTTTTGAAACATTCTCCACTGCGCAACAGGTTCACCTGTCGCCCTCCTTTATCGATCTTGTTTCTAGGGATGAAGGGCATGAGCTCTTCTTGGTTTCTCTTCATGGATATTCCCCACCTATCGTTGCCTTCAATGCTCAACAACAGTCCTTTAGAGGACGTGAATATGGTTATAGAGGTCGTGGTCGAGGTTTCTCCGGTTGACGAGGACGTGTTCGCCGTCCTCCCCACAGCTAGTTATGCAGAACCGAAGGCCATTATGCATTCGCCTATCCCAAACTTGCCACTTTTCAACAAAAGGCTTCCTCACAAATCGATGCTAATCTTGCGTGGGCCTTCTAATCTACCTGAAATATTTCTGATCCATCTCCTGATTGGTATGTTGACTCTGGAGCTATGGCTTATATGGCTCCTTCAACATCTCATTTAGATCATGCACAACCATAAACAAGCCATAACAGGGTTGTTTTCGGTAATGGTAATGTTCACCCTATTTCTCATATCGGAACTGCTCATATTCCTCCTAATATTCATTTGAAAAATATTCTTGTGGTTCCACACCTTTCCAAAAAAATGCTTTATGTCAGTCAACTAACAAAGGTTTACCCAATTGATGTCTTGTACTCTCGAAACTTTTTCAATCTTCAGGACCGAATGACAAAGAAAGTACTGGGCCATGGAAGACATGAGCATGGGCTTTACATTCTCCGCCCAACGTTTCAAGCAATTTTGACTACCGCCTCCAAGCTACGAGCATCTTTTGAACTGTGGCATATTAGACTAGGTCATGCAAGTTATGATACTATTTCTGTTTTGAATAAGATCAGTCACTTCTATTTTTCTTAAACTGGGTGTTTGTTCTTTTTGATAAATTTCTAAACAACACTGGTTACCTTTTATGTTGAATGCAAAACGGGCTTCACATGTTTTAGATATGGTTCATTGTGATTTATGGGGACCCGCACCAGTTTTATCTAATGATGTTTTGATACTATGTTGTACTTATTGATAACTTCTCACGTTTTACTTGGTTTTATCCTCTTAAAGCTAAAAGTGGTTTTTCGCAAGTTCTAAAATCCTTTTTGGAATTTTTTCAAACTCAATTTTCCACCAAGCTCAAAAATTTTCAAAGCGATGAGGGTGGCGAATTTATCAGTCATCAATTTCAAGCCTTATTTAATGAGAATGCTACTCATCGTCAAATTTCTTGTCCTTACACACCTCAGCAAAACGGTATAGCCGAAAGAAAGCACCAACACATTACTGAAACTGGCCTTGTTATGTTATTTGGTGCTCATATTCCTGCATCTTTTTGGGCTGAGGATTTTGCTTCGGTAACATATGTTATTAATTGCGTACCATCTCGGGTCCTCGACAACATATATCCTCTTGAGCTACTTCATGGCGTTCTACCAAACTATGATAATTTAAGGGCTTTTGGGTGTCAAGTCTATCCTTATTTGAGAGATTATTCTGATGATAAACTTGCACCAAGAAGTAGTTCGTGTGTCTTTCTTGGCTATGATACACATTACAAAGGATATCGATGCATGGATCCTACAACTTCATGTATTTTTATTACTCGCAATGCTACTTTTGATGAGGCTTGTTTTCCTTACTCATCCATCGTTACCTCTTCAGCACTTGACCAACTTTCAACCACTAGCTATACTAAAGTTTTACCATCCATATCTTCCACTCCTCCCATCAACTCGTCACTCTCGCACAACCCCACTAATTCACCATGTTATGTTTGTGTTAGCTCTCCGATTCATCAACCTCCATTTCCTGACCCATCGGCCCAACCTGTGGAAGTCCATCACAAATAAACCCATCCTGATGGTGAACCTTCAGTCGTGCCTTAACATCAACCCGAGGAGGCCCACTTCCCCGAGGATATTATTTTACCTACTTCTTCCATGTAAACCCGTTCCAAATATGGGATTTTTCGTTCGAAATGTCGTGCATACATCTCCATTTTCAATACATCTAATTTGCATCATGCTCTTTTCACAACAAAAGAACCTCGCGGTTTTAAAACAACATCCAAAGATCCCTTGTGGTTTCAAGCAATGCATGATGAAATTCAAGCACTTCATAATCATCAAACTTGGGATCTAGTCCCACGACCATCATCCTCTAATTTTTTCTGTTGAAAATGGGTTTTTTGTACCAAGTATAAAGCCAATGGAACGGTTAATCGTTTAAAAGCCTGTCTTGTTGCTCAAGGTTTTAACCAAATGCTGGGGTTTGATTTTTCTCATACGTTTAGTCCGGTGGTTAAATCCTCCGCTATACGCATTGTCTTATCTGTTGCAGTTACACGTAAATGGCGTCTTCATTAACCTGATGTTAAAAATGATTTCTTAAATGGGTTCCTAAATGAAACTGTCTATATGGAGAAACCTCCGGGTTTTACAAATTCGAAATTTCCTAATCATGTTTGTCATCTTAAAAAAGCTTTATATGGTTTAAAACAAGCACCTCTTGCTTTGTTTCAAAGATTAAGCACATTTCTTCTATAACAAGCATTTCACTGCATTACTTTTTGTGTTTCACAAAAACTCGTGTATCTTATACTTTCTTGTTTATGTGGATGATATCATTCTAACCGGTAATGATACGTCATCTACTAGGAAATTTATTGCTTGTCTACATGCCAAATTCTCCATTAAAGACATGGGTACTCTCAACTATTTTTTGGGTCTTGAAGTTTCTTATACTGAAACTGGTTTATTTCTAAACCAATCCAAGTATGCTCATGGTATCCTCACATGTGCTAACTTATTAGACTCAAAACTTGTGGCCACTCCATTGAGCACGAATGATGTTTTTGTTTCTACTGACTCTCTTTACTACTAGAAAAACAGCCTTTTACGACGCGCAATGCGTGTCGTAAAACGCTCAGACGACGCGCAAATGCGTGTCAAGAAAGGCCCTGTTATAAAGAGAGACGACACGCTTTTGCGCGTCGTCTATTTACGATGCGCAGTTACGACTCGCATTTACGACGCACACTTACAACACGCATTGCGTGTCAAGGAAGGCCCTGTCATAAAGGAAGATGACACGCATTTGCGTGTCGTAACCTTACGACGCGCGTTTAAGACACGCATTGCGTATCATTAAAGCCCCTGTCATAAAGAAAGACGACACACATTTTTGCGTGTCATAATTTTAAATGTTTTAAAAATTAATTATTTTGATAGATTTAGTAATTTTCAAATTAAATCACACTTTAAAACTCTTATAATACAAAATAAAATACAATAAATAAGTAAGATAATTCATTGCACTAATATGTCAAATACAAATTATCATTCCAATAGTAAGTAAATGGTAATACATTGCTAATATTACATAATATTTATTATAGAAAAGCAAAACATGTACAACATTAAAAGGAACCCGTGAGTAATTTATCCTTTGACAATCTTCATGGCAACTTTAAGCCTTGCAACCTCACCATGGTATTGAACTTCGCCACCACCGACCTAAGAAAAAAAATTGCGTATAAATATCAAATAACAAGATAGGAGCCAATGATTCTATGACATAAGGAAAAATATCACTAGAGAACTGTGAAAAAAATATGAAACAAATGAATAAAAGTGCATTGCTATTTCTTTAATACTTACTGCATAGAGTAAGACTTGGCCATCATCCATAGTTTTGAAGGACATTGATGTCTCCCTATGCTGCACATATTAAAAATAAAAAAGATCAAAACTGAGTAACATATGGATTCATCTATCTATCAATTGTATTGTAAATTGTAAATTAAATAAATAAGCATTAAACATACATACAACTACAGATGCAATGCCAGGAAAAAGGCCTGAGCATATAATGGCTCTAACCAATGATTGATTATGACTCAATCTGTTGTTAATCCCTGATTTAGTCTCAAGTAATTGAGCATCTTTCAAAATATGGATAAACTGATTCCTTAAAGAATGTATAGCTTTAAGTGTTTGAGCAGAAAGGAAATTCCTCCAGCAATATTCATAAGCAGATCCTTCTCTTTCAGCTTCTTTCCATCCTTCATATGCACGCACAAGTGCCATATGATCACTATAATCTTTTGCAGAAAATCTTGATTTTGTTGTACTAGCTTGCTGAAATAGACATACAAAAGATATCAGGAAAATACCAAAATGCCCTTGTGTGGAAGTAGCTGGATTACTCACGTCTTTCTTCTCTTGAGGCAAAAGAAAAGGATCCCTGACACTAAGTCCAACAACAATTGTAAGAATAGGATCAAAGCAACGAAAAAAAGCACCCATAATCAGCATTTTCCCTAATTTCGGATCCAATGGAAGTATTGCCAGATATTTACCTATATTTTAAAAAAAATGAGAAAAGATAATCTTAGGAAATAAACTTTTATAAATATAATAATATAAACTAACCAAGATGTGTAAGATTTTCAATTTCATCTAATGCTCCAATCATCTTCAAAAAATCCACATCATTTTGGACCTAGAACAAATTAAAGTTCTATCATTTAGCAATCTGAATCATTCATTAAGATTCAAGTCATCAAGAACAGTTAACACTTACAACTAATGGCTCTGGAGGCTGCAATGCAGCTGATAAAAACTCTCCAATACTTCCAACTTCCAAACTTTTTATTTGAAAACAAAGAGAATTTAAAGGAGTTCGTAAAAGCTCGGGTAGTTGATATTCAGAAAAAGCATCATAAACACATCGAGGGTAAAGGTGGAAACATTCCCCTGGTAGCACACGCCCTGCCCTACCCCTTCTCTAAACCAACAAAAAAAAGCAACATAGAAATTAGTCAACTACCTTGACCAACAAAGTCAAAGGGTAAAAAGGTAACTTACTTGGCGAGCAGATGCTTGTGATATCCATGAAGGTAACAAACAAGGAGTGTTGTTCAAGGCATCAAAGGGTAAAAAGGTAACTTAATTAGAGAATCACGAGCTTTTGAGCTATAATTCTCAAAGTTTGATTGAGTCAATGCATCCTAACATATTCACATCAAAATTTGAACTTGTTTTATTCTTTAGAATCAAAAGTTATATTAGAGTTGACCTAATTTTACCAGAATCCAGATAAAGATTTATCCTAATCCCACTCACTATCGCTCTTTAGTTGGTGCTTTGCAGTATTTAAGGATTACACGTCCTGATCTTTCATATGTTGTAAATCAAGTCAGTCAATTTTTGCATGCTCTAACTACTCAATTTTTGCATGCTCTAACTACCGATCATTTTCAGATGGTGAAACGTATTTTGCGTTATGTCAAGGGTACTCTTACTTATGGTCTTACTTTTTCAAACGTACTCACGGGATCCTTAATTGGCTATTCAGATGCGGATTGGGCTAGATGTATTGAAACTCGACGTTTAACGTATGGTTATTCTATTTTTCTGGGAGGTAATCTTGTTTCATGGAGCTCTAAGATCAACCCACGGTTTCTCGATCAAGTTGTGAATCTGAATATCGTGTTATGGCCAACACTACTGCTGAGCTCATTTGGGTCACTCATCTTCTTCGTGATTTACATGCTTTACCACCGAGATGTCCTACCTTATTATGTGATAACCTCATTGTTGTCTTTCTAAGCCAAAACCTTGTTTCTGGCAAACACGCAAAACATATTGATATTGACTATCATTTTGTTCGTGAATTAGTTTCTTCCGGAAAACTTCATACAAAATTTGTTCCTACCAAGCTCTAGGTGGCTGACATCTTCACTAAACCGCTACCAATACCTCTATTTCAAGAATTTCGAGATATGTTGCATGTGTCATCTCCACAGGTTCGCTTGAGAGAGAGAGAGAGAGAGAGAGAGAGAGAG